CAAGGCATGGCTCTCGGAATCAAAATACAGCAGTGCATTAAACCTCCCTCCTGGTGGGCCTGTCTTGGTACCATAAGTGCTCATCAAGCATCCGAACGTCAGTGAGATAATGCGGCCAGTGAGCTTGGGTCAAGCACGTTCTTCTCCAGTCTCTTTTATTCCATTGTTGCTTTTACTATTCCACAGTCATTAATTCTTAAAACAATGCTTTGGTGCAGAAGCAGAGCCTAATTCTCTCCTGCTACTCTTGGTGGGATTGAGTAAAACAGTCCAGCCTTAAATGCGACAACATTTTGTAGCTCAAAAGCTGTCTAGATGCATGTAGGTGGAGTTTTGGTTCGAGGCGCTGATCACCGAGGGGTCTCCCGGCAGCACCGCTCCCCTCAGGCCCCTGCTTTCCTTGGAGCAGGTGGTGAGGTTGGGTCTCTGTCTCCCCGTGTACTTGGCCTCTCACACACACACACATATATTCTTGTACATGCTGTCAATGTCATTTTTGTTCTTGTGTGTTTCTAATTTTCTCTTGTTCCTCTTTTCCTTTTTCTTTTTTCCTTTTTCTCTTGTACTGCCCTGTTAGCATGTTGTTGCATCTGAAAAGGTGGGCTGTGCACACCCTGCATTGGAAATAGCCAGATCACCCTCCGTTCTGTCTCCATCGCTTTAAAAAGCAAAAACGTAACAGTTGCCTTGATCCATGTATTATCCTAGTCATCTTTTTATTTTCTAATGTTTTGGAATATTTGCTTTGTTAGTACATCACCCACTGGTGTTTGATACCTGTTAAAATCCTTGCCTTGAGGAACTTGTTTGGTCCTCTTATATTTGGTGAAAGAAGCACCCTTATTAAATTTGTTTGATTGTTTTGAAGAAGTGAGATGTGAATTGATTTATGCGGCTGCTGAGGGATCATTTTCATGGAGTATTTAAACTTTCAGTGTCAAAATCTACAACATCCTGTGCGATTACTGCTTTTCCACAAAAGTGCTCGGCACGCGGTTCCTGGCTGTCACTGTGTGACATGCGTGACGGCGCTTCCTAGCCGGCGGTCACTGATGAGGAAGTGGCCGGCTCGGGGGTGAGCTGCTGCAGGGGACAGTATTGAAGGAAGCAGTCACCAATTTGTTATTTTTTTTTTGCATTCAAATTCCCGTGCCATTTACTTTATTTTGCCTTCATAAATGGGCAGAGTCCGGTCTAAAATCTATGCCACTCTTTTGTTCCCTGTACGAGGCTGGTATTTCTGAGTATCAGGACAACATGGCTGTCTCCTAAGAGGCTGGCTTACCTGGATCTGGTGGACACTGGAACTGATAAAGGGGACTGTAGCTTTCTCTCTGCTTCAGCCAGTGGGCATTCAGAGCCGGGTCTGTGGTTTGCTTCAGCAGCCATGCAGGCCTCCCTGCACTGGCCTTTACTTTTAACCCATGTTGGCAGTAAAGAGCTGAATCCGTTTCTGTTGCAGCTGACGTCCACCACTGACGGCCATGTCATTAGTTTGCGGTAGTGAGTCTCCAACACCCCAGTCAGCCGTGAAGGAATATGCTTTGGCTGACCTAGGACCTTGCATTCTCACCCGCACCCTGATTCATCTCACCCGGGTAAGGCTTTGGCCACCACCATCATGCTGACCATGAGGCCTTGTTTCTCCTTTCATGCTCTGGTGCAAATGTGGACACTTCATATTTTACTGACTTGGTCTCGCTTGAGATAGGCCAGAATTTCAGAAAGAGTCCATCACATTCTGGGTGGGGAACAGAAGAGATGTAAGTGTCGCAAGTAGAAGGAGTCTAGGCTGTCCAGGTTGGCAAATGCAGGCTGGGATCTGTGATGGGCGGGCTGTGCCCTGGACACAGGCTTTTCCTGTGGCTCCTGAAAGCCCAGGGTTCGGAGTGAGAACAGCCTTGCCTGGATTCCTCCAGCCTCATCTGCTCACTAGCAAGTGTGTCTGCTAATTAGGAGCTCCCCCAGACCTCGGGTCTTTCAAAACTCTGACCACGGGAGAACCTTGAGTCCCTTCTCCTGGGCCTCCCTTGTGAGAATCCAGTGCCTTCTGAGGTGACCGGTGGCAGGAAATGCCTCCCCCTCCAGGGAGCACCCTTCGGAGGATTGAGACTCAGTGCACCATGCTGTGAGCTTGTGGGGTTCCAGCCATGGTCCCTGCAGAACCAGACTTGAGATGGGCTTAGCTTTGGAAATAACATGAATGATTCCAGGACAGGGCTGGTGGGAGGGAACAGGGAAAATTGAATGTGACCTCAAACACCTAGGTGGGTGCTGAGTCTGTTCCTAAAATGGGGAGCCTGGGAGATACCTGCCAGGAATTGAATTGCAAAGTTGGACATGAGGCATTTTTAAGATGCCATTTGTCATTCAACTTTGGACTTCAAAGAAGGACTCTGGTGTATGAGCCTGGGGCTCAGGTGAAGGAGCCGGACTAGAGATACACTTTGGGAGTCGTCATTCTTAGCTGGTGTTCACAGCCTTGCATGTGGATGAGCTCATCTCGAGAGGTGCAGACTGAAGCTGAGGTGGGGCAGGGCTGTCCCTTGTTTGGTGGAAAGCCCAGACCATGCAGCTTTGGTGTGTCAGTCAGTGGCATTTTCGATATTCAGAGCAATGCCATTTATCCTTTAGGGGCCGGGGGTGGTGGGCAAGGCCAGCCAGGAAGAAATCTGAAGGAAGGGTCATGGCCATGTGTGTGTCTTGGAAAGATGCAGGGGCTGCAGTGTCCGGGAGGATAGAACCCTCAGAAGCTGGAGTTGGAGTGGGAAGTGTGGAGAAAGTAGTCACACTCACCTGTGAGGGAGGGAGGGAGGCCTAGGGAGTCCCCACCCTACTGGACTCGCTTTCACATGAACAGAAGGCAATCAGACAGAGGATGTGATGTGAGAAGGGATGGGAACTGGGAGGGGAGCCAACCTGGAGAATGGTGCTTGTAATATTTTGGAATAGTCTCCCTGCATAATAGTGTTAAAATAAACCCAGACTCTTAAGAATATTGATAGTAACTGGAGAGGAAGCAGTTGTTTTTCTGGCCTCCTAAGGATAAGTCATGTATCCATGGATACGCAGAAGATTCGGGCAGCCTGTTCTGGGGGCTTCATCCTTACCAGGGGGAACAGTGTATGTTTAAAGGGGGAGAAGGGAAGTGGAAGGAAACTAGCCAGGCCCCGTGTCAGGTACCAGGTGGCCGCCCTACTTGCGTGTTGCATTCGCATCCATGCCTCCCAGGTGGGAGGTGGCAGCCCCCTTTTGCAGATTGGGAAGCCTTCTCAGAGGGTTTAAAGAATTGGTCAATTTAGCGGCTAGTAAATGCTGTAGCAGGATTCAAGCAGGGTCTTATCAGACTTCAAGGGCTTGTTTCCTCTACTAATTTGTGTACCTCCCTGTTGTACCTGGAATGGTGAAGTGGGTCACTTTTGGAGCCTTTCAGAAAAAGTGCAATTTAAGTGCCTGAGGACTGTTTCACAAAGCTCAGTGTTCTTTGATGGTTCGGAAACACAGCTGTGCTTTTTGCCCCTCAGAGGTAAGGTCTTAGTCCTTTGACGATGACGTGGTTGCAAATGACGTACAGGTGCAAAACCAGACTTAGCAGCTTCTGAAGGGAAACTCTCCAGTTCTCCCTTGATAGACTTTCTTCCACGGGATGTAACTGTGCTGCAGCTTAGGCCTGAGCTTTCCGTATGGAGTGAGGGTTTGATACCCAAAGTTAGCATAAAACGGTCAGATGAAGAAAATCGACGTTGACAATTTATTTTTGGGTTTCATTAGACAAGATATACTATCAGTTCATGGCCCCTATATCGAATGAAATTGAGTACAGAGCATTCCATTTCTTACTTTCTATTTAGAGTTCTCTTACAGCATAAGGTTGCCGGCTTTGGAACATCAGCTCCACCACCAGGGCCTCTGTCAGTGTGTTGGTGTGATTTCATGTACACAGTGAATGTAATCTGGGCTTCCTCAGCCCCAAACACTCCAGTGCAGAATCACGGGCTGTAGACATCTCGTAGTCACGCAAATACTTCTAAAATTATATGATGCCAGAAAAGAAAGAAGAGAGAGAGAGAGATTGCCTTTATCAAAGTTCCTTTCAATTCTAACTGCAAACTGTTGTTGAGCAGCTCTGGTTTCCTTTGGATATCAAAATATACATTTTTTGTATGTAACCTGGGTTTTGGACTAGAACACCTAGCTCTTGCTGTCCACAAGCCACAAAAATATTAGCCAAATTGCACACGTATGAAATATTTTATTCTTTTTTCTGAGAAAGAATCTTTGAATTTGGGACTTGGGCTGTGATTTTTGCTTTTTGCTTCTCCCACCCCTCTTGTAATTTCTCAATCCTTCCCAAGTGACCCACAAGAGGTCGTGGTCTCAAAGGAGTGTGCAAAAACCCAGTTGGTCACCATGCAGGGCTGCTGTAGAGGGAACCCCGACGCCAAGACCTAAAGGACATTATCAGAGAGGACT